TGGCAGAGAGGAAAAGTCAAAGAGGGACTTGGCCTACTTCCTCACAAAAGCCCTCTTATGAAGGATCAATCTCATTCAGAAGGGCAGAATTTTCCTCATCTAATCATTTCACCTCCTTGTATTATCACATTGGCTCTTAGGTTCTAATATATGAATTTGTGGATGATTTCTATTTACATATATATTTATCCAATTGTATCAGTTCTCATTAAGTAAACTCTGTTAATCCCTTATTTAAAATGAATAATATCATTATGTTGTTTGTTTTTTGCTCTTTGGTGGAGGGGCCTCCACCCAGCTCCCAAATAAATCACACACGGAAGCTTATTCTTACTTATGAATGCCCAGCCTTAGCTTGACTTGGTTTCTAGCCATCTTTCCTTAACTTAAATGATCCCATCTACCTTTGGCCTCTGGGCTTTTCCCATTATCTTACCTCTTTAAACCTTACTCTTACTCCGAGATTTGCTGTTTCTGTAGCTGGGTGGCTGGCCCCTGATGTCCTGACCTTCACTGGCTCCTCTTTTCCTTTTCTTCCTACTTCCTTCTTCTTCTATTTATCCTCTCTGCCTTCCAGCCCCGACTATGCCTCACTATTGGCCATCCAGCTCTTTAATTAGACCATCAGGTGTTTTAGATAGGCACAGTAACACCAAGTTAAACAAATGCAACATAAACAAAAGTAACACACCTAAAAATAATATTCTACACCACCATTATCCCTATAAAACTAGTTTAACATAGTTTTCTATGTTTTCTCCCAGTGTGTCTTTAGCGTTCTCTAAGGGTTGTAAAAAACTGCATAGGGAGTGAGGTTTCCACAGAAGTGCTTCCTCCCATTGGAGTCATTCCATTTGGAAGGGATGATGCTATCCAGTAGTGACTAGCTTTTACACGCTTTACTGTTCTTCCAAAGTAGTACCCAAGCCTTCCTTGCAAACATCTCCCTATGAGTGAGAGAACTCAGAAAGTGTTTTGAGAGCATTAGCTGACTTTCATTCAGCTGTGTCTCCAGTCAATTCTACGGTCATCCCATGAGTCCAGTTGTCAGGTTGTGGGGCAAATCTTCTTAAAAGGCCAGAAGTACCTCAATCAGCAAACATTCCTTATGTACTCTTCTCCCTCCTTAGGACACATTGGAGGGAGTGTAACCTGCAAAATCACATTTCTGGGAGAGAATATCTTGCTTTCTCTAATAAAAAAGGAAGAGTCATCTTACTAACACCAATAATTAAATCAGATGATGAAAACTCACTCCCATAGGCACCTGTTGTAATTTGTTGTTTGCAGAAACAAAACAGGATAAAATTATATAATGCTGATTGAAAATACCAAATCGTTGTCCTGCCTTAAAGGCCTAGACTTGATTTATTTAAAATTGGGCTTTTCATATTAGTGGCTGAAATTATGTCTTACACTCAACAAAGTTGCATATATACTTCATGAAAGACTTGAAATTTATAAAATATGAAGTAGTGTCACACTCATGCATGGTTTTTTGGATTTTTTTGGTTTTTGTTTTGATTTTTCGAGACAGGGTTTTTCTGTGTAGTTTTGGTACCTGTCCTGGATCTAGAAAGGTAGACAAGGCTGGTCTAGAACTCACAGAGATTCGCTGGGTTCTGCCTCATGAGCTCTGGCATGCACCACCACCGCCCAGCATGCATGGTATTTTTCAAATGAAAAATTAATTTATCTCCAGAAGAAAATTAATTTATCTATGCAGTGACTCATTCATTAACCTTTTCAAAGGGTCTGTGTTTTGTAAACAATAAAATATATTTGAAATTCATATGACTTACTAAATAAATAAAAATGAGCCTAAATACTGGGAATTAAAACTAGAGTTTGAATGTGTGTGTGTGTGTGTGTGTGTGTGTGTGTGTGTGTGTGTGTGTGTTCATTTATGTATATGCATCGTTGACTATCTACAGGGACTAGAAAGTGGGTCAAATATCCTGGAACTAGAGTTATATGCTGTTGTGAAGAACCCCACTTGAGTTCTGGGAATTGAGCTCAGGTCCTTTGCAAGAGCATCAAACACTATTAACTCCTGAGCCATAGCTCCAGCCCCAAGTCTGGAGTTTCAATGTTCTAGTTTGTTTTGTTTGGAGGCAAGGAAGGGATATGCATCACTTCTAAGTCATTTAGAACAAAATGCATAGAATTGTTTAATAATTTGGCTCTTTTATTTTACTGCATATGACTCATGAATCTGTTGAGTTAGTGGAGTACTAATACTGTTATTTTATGTAGTCATAACAAATTCCTTTGTCTTAATAGAACTGTTTTTTTTTTCTCAAAAGGCAGCAAGTTAAGAATGTGATAAATCACTTTTCCAGGAACTGTTTCATTCTTGTGTTTCATTTGGTGTCATCCACTCCTGTGCTAATAGGAAAAAGCTGTCTCTGAAGCTGCCTGTGAACTCCAAGTGTTTTGCTCCTGATTTATGTGGGTTTACACACTTCATCATTCCATACACATTCCTTGTTTAATTCATCATCTTATTGAATACCCCACACATAACAATGTGTTGTGCTATTTCATATGAAAATGCTGTTTTCAACAAAGCACTCTTTTTGAAATTGTCTTCCTCTGGGATATTAAAATTTTAGCTTGGCAAATAGACAAGGTGAATAAATGAAGCAATTAAACAGATTTTATGTGAAATTTATACACTCAAAGCTGAGTGGAAATACCTTATAGAAAAATTTGAAGGTGGGGCCCCATCTCTCTGCTGAGAGTTATTTCTGCTGAGTTTTGAAAACTAGGTGTTGTCAGCTGTAGAAACTAGGAGAAATGTCTTAGTTAGAAGGACAATGAAATCCTTTAGTTCTTGGGGTGGTGGGAGATCCAAGAATGACCTTGCAACAGAAAGGAACTCATTGCAGCTTAATGTAAGGGATCAATTTGGAGTCAAGGAACCAATGGCAGTAAAGCTGCTGGGAGAATCATTCCTTTAAATGTGTGGCCACTAACACATTGTCTATGTTCCAATGGGTGACTGGGTATGCATAAACTCATGGGAGAAGCACACAGTAACTTAGAGTGGTATCAAAAATAAAGCAAAAAGGGAAGAGAAGGGTGAGGAAGGGAGGGAGGGGAGAGGAGGCAGGAGAGGAGAAGAGAAGAGAAGAGAGGGGAGGGGAGGGACGGGAGGAGAGGAGAAGCAAAGAGAAAAGACTAGAGGAGAAGAGAAGAGAAGAGAGAAAAAAGAAGAGAAGGAAGAGGAGAGAAGATGAGAGTGGGACATTTGGGAGGAAGTTTAAGGAGTGTCAGAGAGTGTGTATGACCATTTTTAGTTACATACACAGTGGAATTCAAAAGAATATGCGAAATAATATTCATAATAACTTGTAAAAAGGTTAAATGTGTGAAAATAAGTTGGAAGCACAATGTCATTTTTATCTTGAAAAATAATGAGTAACACAATATAAAATAACATATTGAAAACTTAATCTAGAGCTGAGGAAATGGCTCGAGGGTGAAGCCCCCACATCACAGGCATGAGTGCTTGCTTTTGGGTTCCCAGCATCCATGCAAATGTCCAAAGTGGTATACCCTGTACCTGTGACTTCAGTGCTGAGCTGTGCATGGGGGTTGAGTAGGCAGAATCACATGGATTCCTAGAGCACATGGGCCATCCAACTTAGGCAAAAATATGTGTTCTACGTTCAATGAGAGACTCTATTTCAATGAATATTGTGCGGGAAATCAAGTAAGACACCCAGTGTCAGCCTCCAGCCTTCACATTCTCAAATTCAGAGATGAATGGACATGTACACTTGTTCACCCACTCAAGAAAATGCACATATCCAACACAAACACAGACATGTACATGTACACATTCATGCCAAGATGGTTCTGGCCATTTTAAAGATAGTATGTTGGGGAAAAGAAAGCTTAAAAAAAAATTAATCATTTGATGACTGTTTTACTGTAAAACAATATTTAAATAATTATTCTTGGTTATATAGTGATGTGCCCCTATATGTGACATACATTCACATGTAAGAAGTCATAGGCAAGATCAAGAGACATCATAGACACATTATGGACAAATTTCAACCCTGAAGCACTATAAGCAACATAAGGAACACTTAGATTTTTATTGTCTTGCTCTTTAATGGTTGTTGGTCTGTGTGATCCATTGATCTCATAATTTCAAATATTACATAGTTTTGCTTGACTCAGTATTTACCACATACAAAATATCACAGAAATTGATCCATTCTAGACCTAGTCATAACATAGGAATTGATAATATAAAAAAGATTCCATGAAGTTATGCTATTACTATCATGTAAATTGTTTTTAATTTTATGTAATAATTATATTTTAAAACCATTTGAAAATATTAGAATACTATTTTATACCCAGCTTATTATTTGGATCATATTTGGAACTTGTGAGAACCTGTTTCTTAGTTTCAAGATCATGCCCATAAAATTGAGCTGAAAAAGAATAAGAATTTATTGCTGATTTCTTTCTCCACTAAGTAAATTTGGATGAAAAATCTTGTTAATGACCATTGAAATAATGACTGTGGGTCCTCCTTAAATACAGTAGTTTGAATCATGTATAAATTCTTGAAAGTCCAGCTCAAGGATTTGCTACAGGCTGTCTCTGTAGGTTAAGCAATTGGAACTAAAATTATTTTTCAGCTTATATTCTTCTTACATATATGTCTTGTACATTTTGGAAGTACACACAACAGGAATTCTTATGGCACAACTTAAAATCTATTTTTGTAATTAGCCACTGTATTTCCAAATGGAAAAAATATTCTTAGGTAAATTTGTGCAGCGCTTTAAATTTTTAAAGGGAAATGTCTTGAATTTGCATAAGTGTTACTTGAAATGCTGTCCTGAAAGACACTTTTTGAAATCATAATGTAGGCAAATTTAGTCTTTGTGTTTCGATCATTTGCCCATCTTCATTAGCAAGTAGCCATTTTCATGTAAATTACCTGTTAAAGGCATTACTCTTTTATTTTGCAGATTGTTGCCTTGCGTGAGCAAAATGTTCATATTCAGAGAAAAATGGCATCAAGTGAGGGATCCACAGAGTCAGAACATCTTGAAGGGATGGAACCTGGCCAGAAAGTTCATGAAAAGGTATGATACATATGACCTGCTTTTAAATGGAAATGTTTACTGGCTGTTTCATTTGATAGAAATACCAAAATAAAACCATATACTGAATAAATTATGATATGTGTGGAGTTTTTTGTTTGTTTTTGTTTGTTTGTTTGTTTTGTTTGTTTGTTTGAGACAGGGTTTCTCTGTGTACTTTTGGTGCCTGTCCTAGATCTCCCTCTGTAGACTAGGCTGGCCTCGAACTCACAGTGATCTGCTTGGCTCTGCCTCCTGAGTGCTGGGATTAAAGGCATGCACCACTACTGCTCGGCGTGTGTTGAGTTGTTTTTTTTTTTTTTAATCAAAATTTCAGTGTTTTTTTTTCCACTTATTACTTTCAATTTGTTAGTTTTAAAGTTTAATGTGTTTGTCTTGCATGTAGTTATGCATAGATATGTGACATTTTATTAATGGCTATTAATTTGATTATATATACAATTTAATTTATATATTAACATGTATAAAATATATAATTTAAACTCAATATAAAATGTTTTGTATGGTACTGTCTTAAAGGTACTATTTCTGAGTTATTCCATCTATAGGTGTTATTTCATACAGTGTATTAATGAAAAAAATGTTGATAATCTTTTTTTTTATATTTAGCACTTAAGTTCTTTACCTTTTCTTAAAGATTCCAGTCTTAGTTCTGATAATGAAATATTGTGAAGCCCAGTATATGAAACCATTGGACTTTTACCAGTTTTATTCCTTCATTGATTCATTTATTCATTCACCTTTATAAAGAAACCATTTTTTTTGCAATGTAGTTTAGACACAGGCAAAGGATAGAAGTGGTCTGCTTAGCCACTTCCAAAAGACAGTGTCTGTTTTTCTAATGTAAGATGAGGAACATAAACTATAAGTGGGTCATAAATTAGATGAAAAATGACTTAAATATTTGCATAAACTGAGCTTAACACTCAAGAGACTCTGCTTGCTTGCCTTTAATACTTCATATTTTTGGACACCTAATCTCCTTAGGCATTAAGTCCCCGTGAATCAAGTAGCTGAAGTGGTGTAATTGGAAGTGTGAAGAGGTTCCACAACCCAGAGATTAAGAAGCAGGCAATGGATGACAAAGCCAATAGCATTAGATTCCTGATGAGTGTGAAACAGGTATTTCCTCAGTGAGGTTGTTGAAACAGACGAAGGTGCCAAGGAAACTAAGTAACCCAGATGAGTTTCCGGGGACAACCTTCAGGTCTGATGGCCAACAACTGGACAGATCTTTATGTAAAACCACGATTTTGAACATATCCCTCCTATTTTATTGAAATCTTAAGCTGGATGTTCAAAATAAAGAATTTATGGTGATTTCATAAGCTGTGTGTGAGATTAAAATAAAAAAATAACTTATCTTTCTCTCAGCTAAGTCAGTCGGGGTACCATCAATCTCTTTAGGACAAGGTATTTGAATTCAGAAAAACGTTGAGGAAAGGAACATAAATTTTGCCATTGACATAATTTAAATGATGTCATCAGTAATAGATTTTCCTCAAGCAATTATAAAAGCACACAGATTTGGTTATAAAGATTGAATGTACAGTACAGTTTTGTACTTAGGTATCTATAATAGCAGAAATATATAACATTTGTGCTCCTGTACTCCAAGATGAAAGAAATACATGAAATATGTTTTTTAGGAAGAAATAAATCAAATACTTGTATATTTTTAAAGCACGTATATTCATTTACATATGTATCTGAATTCATCTACGGCTATACAACAGCAAATGATATTCCATTTAATGATAGATGACATAAAGAATAATATATGTCAGCTATAATATGTAGCAAGTATATCACCTAGTATGTAACTAATCTGTGGTTCTCAGATGACAATATTGCCTCGTGATATATTATTTATAATTCATAAGACTTTTTCACTTTAGGCAACACATGTCTCCATATTTTTTTCTACTCAAATTACAGCTTCTAAGTTTGACAGCCATTGGAAGATTTTGATAGTTCCTATCAGAATAATTCTCAAGTTGCATCTTCAGAACTAGAAGAAGGTCTAATTCTGTATATTGGTTTTGGTCTCTAACTGATCTCATAGCTACAAGTATACATATGGAAGATTTTGAGAAGCTGATAACTTGAAAACTTTTGCACTTTTGTTCATTCTTTTGGCAAGAATATAAATAAAACATTTTAAACATTGTGATCATGGATATTCATTTTTTTAAATTGCTGACAATTGTAGAATTATGTCTGTGTGCTAGAGATTGACAGTATATTATTATTGTTTAAATTACCACACAAATAGCCTCTAGTATGAGCCATGTGCTAGATAGTTTTATATCAACTTGAAACAAGCTAAAGTCATCTGAGAGAAAAGAACCTCAATTTTAAAAATGTCTCCATAAGATCAGGCTATAGGCAAGCCTGTAGGGCATTTTCTTAATTAGTGATTGATGAGGGATGGCCCAGCCCATTGTGGGTGGTGCTGTCCCTGGACTAGTGAGCCTGAGTTCTATAAGAAGGCCATGATGAGCGAGCCAGTAGGCACCACTCCTCCCCAATGGCCTCTGAACTAGCTCCTTCCTCCAGTATCCATCCATGCTTGACTTTCTCTCCTGACTTCCTTCAGTGGTGGACTACTGTGTGGATGTGTAAGCAAAATAAATCCTTTTCTTCGCAGCTTTCATTTGTTCACGATGTTCCACACAGCAGTAGCGACCCTAACTAGTGGAGTATTGCTGTGACAGACCTGACCATGTGGTTTTGGACAGATTCATGAAGTACTTGGAACTTGGGTCGGGAAAAGCCATTCAAAGCTTGGTGAGCTGATCGGTGGGAACTTGGAAGACAAAAATGTTGAGAGAAACACAGACAATATAGGCCTGCCTGTGGAGTTTCAGTGGGAAGCAAAGACTCCACAGGGCCTTTTGTGTGAAGAATCTGTGGTGTCTGGTCAGCTGGAGATGAAAAATAGGCTGTAGTTATCAAGAGACCAGAACCACTGAAGTGAAACCTTTGCTTCACTAGGACAATTGATGCCGCTCAGCTGGAACTGAGAAATTAGTGGTGATTAAGAAGAGACCAGCATCACTATGGTGAAATCTTCTGGGAAGTGATTCCTTGGCATCAGCACAATCTCCCAGGAGGTAGTGGCGTTGAAGGCATTGAAGAGGTCAGCTGAGGCTTGGCACGGTTACAGAGCAGGAGAGGCCATTGGTGACGGTTAAGCAGAAGTAGTAGTGAAAGGCAGTATTGAAGGTGTCATGGAGAAAGTTGAGGCTTTGTACCTTGAAGAGAGCCCAGGAGAGGCTATTGGTGAATGTGCAACACAGTTACTGCAGAGACCTCAGCATTTTGGAGATGCCAGTACCATGAGATGACCACCAAGAGTAGCAACAGGTATGGAGTGAACAGGAGATGACCACCAACAACATCAGCAGGTGTGGAGTGGAACTGGCCTGAGCCTAGAAGACAAGCTCTCTGTGTGTTGCAAAGGGAAAAGCTTGAGAAGTGACCCAAGACACTTGGAGAAGCCCAGAAGATTGTCAGTAAATCCCAGATACTGGACATTGAATGATTGAATGATTATAATGTTGAATTTGTTTTGACTTTGATCTGATGGTGACTGTGTCCTCATTCTTCCCTCTTGAAATAATTTATTTTTGACTTTATAGGAGCCCACAGTTGAAATACTTTCAATTTTAAAGGAGACTTTGGACTTTAAAAGGGACTTTGGATTTGTTTAAAGATACTGAATTTTTAAAGTGTTTGAATTTGTAAGACTATGGGCATTTTGAGTTTGTAAAATGTTTTATATTGTAGTGTTGTATTAATCGGTATTCTCAGGATGAACATTAAAGGAAAGGTTATGGCTTTAGAGTGATGTTTGTGTGTCAATTTGATAAGGGGTCAATTGTGCTAGCTACTTTTATGTCATCTTGACACACGCTAAAGTTATCTAAGAGGAGGGAGCCTCAATTAAGAAAATGCCTCTGTAAGATTAGGCTATAGGCAAGACTGTAGGTCTTTTTCTTAATTAGTGAATGATGAATGAGGGCTCAGCCCATTGTAGGTGGTAGCACCCAGGGCTAGTGGTCCTAGGCTCTATAAGAAAGCAGGATGAGCAAGCCAATGAGAAGCACTCCTCCATGACCTCTGCATCAGTTCTTACCTCAAGGTTTCTGTCCTGTTTGAGTTCCTGTCTTGACTTCCTTCAGTAATGAACAGGAATTTAGAATTATAAGCCAAATAAACCCTTTTCTCCCCAGATTGCTTTGGTCATGTTGTTTCATCACAGTAATGATAACCCTAACAAGGATAAGCCTAAAAACAAGTAATTTGTACTTTGTTTTTTTTTTTTTTTTTTTTTTTTTTTGGTCTTTCGAGACAGGGTTTCTCTGTGTAGCTTTGCGCCTTTCCTGGAACTCACTTGGTAGTCCAGGCTGGCCTCGAACTCACAGAGATCCGCCTGGCTCTGCCTCCCGAGTGCTGGGATTAAAGGCGTGCGCCACCATCGCCCGGCTGTACTTTGTTTTAAGTTTAATCTTTAAATAAGTAAACTGTGATCCATTTTACATTATTAAACCTGTGATTAGTTTCTCATGATTAAATAATTGCTGCATATTAGAACAAATTTCCCTGACAAGTGTTAATCAAACACAAAATGATAAATCTAAGTTATTATTTTGATAGTTTAAGTAAATATTACAGTTACAGACAAAAAGCATTATTAATCATTCATTTCTGGTCTTATTTTCATAATATGACTGTTTAGGACAATAGCAATACATTTGACTAATAAGTTATAACATTGTTATGATTTAAAGGTTGTTTACTAGTTGAGTTGAGAACTCATGTATATCTCAGCATAGGGAAATATGCTAATCTGAAGAATGTGTGATGAAGTTTATCAGTAAAGGATTTCAGGTGATATCAATGTATTAATTACCAAGTTGTTCAGAAGAAAATAACCTAGATTATTGTTAGCTAACAATAGAGATGATAGAAAGTAA